AAATGTTGAAAGGCACAAAGAGTATTCATGTGGTATTGATATACTTGTATCTCCAACTTTATGTTTGCCTGTTAAATTATTCTGTCTGGTTCCAGTATATTTCAAAAGATGCAGAAAGCATCATGAGCAGAAAATACTGAAAGATTAAAGTGCCCACCATAAATAAGAGAGTTTATGTATTTTTAAAACTCAGTGAACTGCTTGGATGAGAAAGGTAGCACTAAGTGCAGAGTGTCGCAGGACAATGAGTTCTGAGCATACCAGGTAGCAGTAGTTGCTGCAGCATGACAAACTGCTGGAATGTAACCTGCTGTACTTCACATATGTCCTTGTAGACTCTGGGCTTTAAGAAAGGTCCAGTGTTAACTGTAAGGGAGAATTAAATTGTATAGCCTAGCCCAGTGATGGCGAACCTTTTAGAGACCGAGTGCCCAAACTGCGACCCAAAACCCACATTAACTTAAGATGATCCAAAGAAAGTAAGGGAAACAATCCCAAATGCTTTCATTTACTTAAAATTATTTGGCAAAGAATTCGACACTTTAATGATGGTCTGGGCCTGGCTGGGGTGATAGCACGTGCCATAGGTTTGCCACCACTGACCTAGCCTGTGTTAAATATGTGGTTTTCCTTTCATTAGAACAAACAACCAAAATCTTTATTTTCAGTTGAACTGCAGACCAGAAGGTCTGTAGTTCGGCAGTTCGAGACCCTAGGGCCGCGTGACAGAGTGAGCTCCCATCTCTGGCCCCAGCTCCTGCCAACCATTTAGTCATGCCGGCCACATGACCACAGAAACGTCTTTGGACATCTCTGGGTCTTCAGCTTGGAAACAGAGATGAGCACCGCCCCCTAGAGTTGGATTCAACTGGCTTTTGAGCAAGGGAAACCTTTAATATCGATGTACATGGGGAATATGGAGAAATACTAACACTGTTTGGTCTCTTATCTTCTTGGTATTATGAGCACTCACTAATATACAGATGGTACAATGGGGAAAAACAAACAAACCCTGAACATTTGTTTCTGTTTGTCTTTCCTGAGTCTGCACATTTGTCTTTTCGTTGTTGTTGGAAAGCTGAGGGATGCTACAAACAAATTTGGCTGTGAGCTTGCTGCTTCCTTGCCAGCAATGACTTTATTAATTTTATTCTTGCTCATTTTAGTTTCTCTTCTGTCCCTGATACGCAGCTATTTGTGGTTCTTCATGAGATTCCCTGATTTACACACCAATAAACACAAGGTTCCTCCACCTACCACCACACAAATACACAAAAAAATTATGGAGATAAGCAACTGCTGCAAACATTGTTATACTGTTTGTAGAAATGCTGATATGGCAGAGTAGCTGACATATTAGTATTACGGTGCAGCAGCAAATAGTAAGACATGGGAAGGGGGAATGTTTCCCAGCACTAGTACTTCTATAGATGCTGATGTGAATGGGGAGCTGAATACTACAAATACCTGTTCCCTATAAGGTGGTGATCAATCATATTGTAGCTAGCTAGGCATGGCCCAACTTGTTTCCTTTATAAAAAAACCCCAAAAAATAAATAAATCACCCGTGTCTTATGATAGCAGAAGTGATTAATATGGGGAGTTCCTGCAGGTTTGCCTTGTAATTCAGGTTTTCTCCTAATTCACAAAAGCTCTAGATTTTATTGTTTGCAATATAAACTATTTTCTGCATCCTCTACCAAGAAAGCTCAGAAAAACACCTTCCCCCCCACTCCATCCTTAATTCTTGTGGGTGGAAGAGGGGGAACTAGTGGTAGGTAAAAGTTCCTAGCTAGAGCAGAGGCCTTGTGAAGTTCACTTTAAGGCCTGAATTCAGGAACATTGTTTCTTGTCCCATCTCCATAATTTCTTGTCCATCTACTGCCGTGGTTTTCTCCCTTCCCCAAAAGGAGAAGTCTGAAATGGCAGCAAAGGGCTGGCTGCAGGAAAACTTTGGAAGGGGGTTGGACTCCTCATAGTCTAGGCAGTGCAGGTGAAGATTTTTCTAAATTGGAGGTGTTTTTCCAATGGGAGTTTAAAGTAAAGGTAAAGGTTCCCTTGCTCGAAAGCCAGTCGAGTCCGACTCTAGGGTTGCGGTGCTCATCTCCGTTTCAAAGCCGAAGAGCCAGCGCTGTCCAAAGACGTTTCCATGGTCATGTGGCCGGCATGACTAAACACCAAGGCGCACGGAACGCTGTTACCTTCCCACCGAAGTGGTCCCTATTTATCTACTTGCAATTTCTTGCTTTCGAACTGCTAGGTTGGCAGGAGCTGGAACTAGAGACGGGAGCTCACTCCGTCATGCGGCAACTCGGGTCTTGAACTGCTGAAGTACTGACCTTCCACAGCCTGCAGTTCAGCGTCTTAACCACTTGAGCCACCGCAGCTCCTAATGGGAGTTTAGTAATTGGTTTAAACTGTGATTTAGCTCTTAAAAAATCACATTAGTCTAATATAAAGGCAGAAAAAGCAAAAATATTGGATAAAGAATAAACTGTTAGTCAATCCTAAAAGAAATCAACCCTGACTGTTCCCTGGAAGGCCATATACTGAAGCTGAAGCTCAAATACTTTGGCCACCAAATGAGACAGGACCACTCACTGGGGAAGACCCTGATGCTGGTAAAGATTGACGGTCAAAGAAGAAGGGAACAGCAAAGGATCAGATGGTTAGACAGTGTTACTGATGCAACGAACATGAAATTAAGCAAACTCCAGAGGACAGCGGAAGACAGGAGGGCCTGGCATGATGTGGTCCATGGGGTCGCGAAGAGTCAGGACCTCCGTGTCCTTGTGCGACTGAACAACATGAGCTTTCATGAGTCACTGTTCACAAAAACTCATACTCTGCCACAAATTTTGTTAGTCTTTTAAGATGCTGCTGGACTGTTGCTCTTTTCTACTGCTACAGACAAACATGGCTACCCATCTTAGTGTTTTGTGTTATTTTATGCTGCTGTTTGTGTTTTAATTGATATTTTTAAAAAAATAGAAATTAGGATGCATTTGTGGCTTTTCAGTTTTATGTGTTGTTATCAAATACTCTAGAATCAACATTAAATATAACTTGCATGAAATACCTATTTTCAACCTCCTGTCCCCCCCCCCCCCAATACTTACTGTATAAGGACAGCAGATAAATGTGTAGTCTCACTTTCTCCTGTCTTATTTCAAATACACTTTAAGGACCTTAATTGACTTTTCCTTGTTAATTTTTCCTCTTTTAACCTTTATTTCTTTGTCTTCTGTTATAATAAAGGGTTTCCAATATCCAGCAGCAGCTGGCCCAATTGGATAATGAATCCTGGCCAGGCATGGCAGAAGCAGACAGGGATCGTCTTCAGCTCATCAAAGAGAAAGAAGCTCTCCTACAAGATTTGCAGCTCATCAGTCAGCAGCGGAGATCTCCCGAAGACATTGAGCGCCTAGAGGATGAAAAAAGGCGTTTGGAGGCTGAGATCCAGCAGGCTAGGGCCAGTTCTTCTCATGGTGCTGCTGAAAGGTCTGGGAATTTGATAATTTTCATAGATGCTACAGGGTACAGATACAAATGTATATACTATGCTACGTTACCTGAGTAAATAAGTCTGTTAATCAAATTGATGTGCTTGCTATCCCAATCCACCATTAAATATAGGGGTGCCAGTTTCAACCATAGGTTGCTTGGCAAGGCTGGCACAGATCTTTTTGAAATAGATGAGAGTATTGGGGATACTTACAGACCATGTCTGTAACCCTGTAAGAATTGCTTGTCTTAATCACCTTTCATATTTTCCTTGAAAGTCAAGAAGTCACATGCTTGTCAGAAGTATCCCAAGATTACCCCCAGCAACTGGTATTTTAGGTGTCTGCCTCTGAAACATTTCTTAAATAAAAGCAAGGAACTAAATGTGTTTCCTCCTGAGTATTAGGATATTGTGATTAGAGGCTGGAGTAAGAGAAATGTCAGAATAGAAGACTGAGTACTAATGTGCCAATACTAATATTGCCTGTCAGGTTCACTCTTCCCTACATATACTTTTTGCTCACTTCACTCAAATAATTTTGATGAGATTGTTATTAACCAAGCCTTTCAGACCCCTATACAGAACCCATTCTGCTTTCTGTCATTGTTCAGGGATTGGAATATGGTAGGGATATGTTGATATGCCATGTCAACTACCAAGGGGCAGGCTTAGTGTGAAATTGGGTGTGGGAAACTGAGCAATTACAAAAAAAATATAATTGAAAATAGTTTACTGGCCCAGTAGAACTTCTTGACAGAATCTCAAAGATGCAGTGAAAAATTCCAAACATCCCCCATTCCACCAGTGAATCTCACCATAACATTGTCTCCTTTTTTACCGTTAACCTGGTAGTGACAAAACAGCAGCAGCAAATTCCTTGTGGTGACTTCTTTGCGAGCCCTTCCTTCCCTCTCTCAAAGATAGTCACTCAGAAGGCTGCAGCTGCCCAGATGCAAGGAGCTTTGTTTGTTTTGTGCCCAGTATGCTGCTTTTGCAACACTGTAGGGACTTTGAGCAGAGAAAGGAAAGTTTCAGGCAGAGGCCTCCAGAGATTCTCTGCAACCATTTGCTTGCCATTGCTTTATAAGTTTGGGGCAAGGGAAGTGGGGCATGGAGTTAGGCATAGTGTTCTTATCTAAACAAATAACAGATTATTAGGGATGGGCACAAGGCAGATTTTGGCATGGACTTGGCCTGGTTCAGAGCCCCCGAACCAATGTTTGGGGAAGGCGCCTTCCCCAAACATTTATGGACTTTTGTCCGGTTCAGTTCAACTGTTCGGGTCAGTTAAATGTAACAGCTGAGCAGTGCGGTTCCACACAGCTCACCTGTTACATTTAAATGACTGTAAGCCATTTCAGCCTAACAGCAGACAGGTGCACCCACCCCACTGTTAGGCTGAAATGGCTTGGAAGCGGGAAGAAGTGAAAGACTGCTGAAATGGCTGCCAGCCATTTAAACCTAACAACAGGGTGGGTCCACCCATCAGCTTTTAGTTTTAAATGGCTGCCAGCCATTTAGTCCTTCCTGGACAATTCCCCTCCCCTTCTCCTGGCCGTGGCTTGCCAAGGCCCGGAGAAAGGGGGACCCAAACTGGCCAGTTCGGTTCAGGTCATTTTTGGGTTAATGCTCATTTCTACAGATTATCTCTCCTGAAACAAAATTCTCAAGGTTGTATGATGCTTGTGTGAGTTGCAGGTGAACCACTGAGGAAACTACACATTACACTGTCATCACCCATTGTCTTATCATTGAAGCCCATGTGAGTGTGGCTGTTCAGACCCTGAGTAGATGTTACTGGAAACCTCGATGGGAATTATCCTGTCAAAAAATACCAAGTAAAAATAACTTTTTTGTGACTGCTTTTGTAATATATGAAGATGACTTTCCTCTTTTATAGGATACTGTTACAGGAAAAAACTAATTGTCTGCTAACGCAGCTGGAAGAAGCAACTCGTTTAAGTTCCTATTTACAGTCCCAGTTGAAAAGGTTAGTTATTTAGAAAGAGGGTTCTTGAAACATACCATAATGTAGTATCACTCCATAGGTGTAAGTGGGACTTAATTCTTTACATTTTTACATTTTGGAACCTAAATAAGACAGAAGAGGTTCCTATTTTTTCCTGACTTCTGTTATAGTTAGTTATGGTTACAAATTTTGTTAAAGATATGTTATGGTAATTTCAGCAAGCTAGAAATAGTATTCATTTTCCTGTTGTGTGTACAAATCCTGAAAAGAACCAAGTTTTAATATATGATAAAAAGTAGGTATAAAGTATATGACCTCCATATGCTGAAGACTAGTTTTCTGACAATTCTGAGCAACTTTTAAAAATACTTCTCATATGTGAATTAAATTGCTATAGTAAAGATTGTTACTATAAACCTTTATTGAGAAAATTGACATTGACTGTAGACATTCACTCTTTGCTCCATCTTTTATTAGTCAGTCTCTGAACGTTAAGATACACTGAATTTATCTTGGGAAAATGAATTGTTGGTAGGTTCCTAACTGGCATTTCAAGACATAGAAAGGCAACCTTCTGATAAATTTATAGCATACATGCTATTGCTGAACCAGACTGAAAGTGACCAAGTAGAAAATAGAGGAATTTTTATCAGTTAAATTGGCAATAAAGCTGTAAAAACTGAAAGAGATTTTATTATGCTTTATGTTCCCCCTCCCTCTAGCCATTTAAAAACTGTAACACAGAGCTGCCAGAATGATTAACCACGACATGCCTTTTCCCTATATGACTTGATTCTTCCTGCCATTTTTGTGTGTTGGTATAGCTCTACAGATAAAGACAAATGAATTAATCTTAGCTAACTCCTCCCCCCCCCCCCCCCCCCCCCCCTCTGAAATCACTGATTAAACAGTTTTCATTTTTTGAACTTTTGGTTTCATAAATAATAGGTGCATGTTTGTTTCTGTCTTCTAGCTTGTCTGCCAGCACCCTGACAATATCTTCTAGCGGCAGCAGGGGGTCGTTGGCATCCAGCCGCGGATCTTTGGCATCCAGCAGGGGCTCTCTTAGTTCTGTCAGCTTCACAGACATCTATGGTCTTCCTCAGTATGAGAAATCAGACAGTGTTATTGACTACGGGCAGCACATGCGATTTGATGCAATTCCGTTTGATTGTCCAAGTAAAGACATACAGTATGTTGACTCCATTGGACCTTCTAGTTTCGGTAAACAAAGAAGATCTTTGGATACACCTCTGTCACTGGCATCCCTCTCATCACGGTCCTCTCTGTCCTCATTGTCTCCTCCAAGCTCCCCCCTGGACACTCCCTTCCTCCCTACTTCTCGGGATTCCCCATTGGCCCAAAAGTCAGAAGGATATGAGGAAATGATGGGCACAGGGGCCTTAGAAATGCTTCGAGCTCATGCTTCTGTTCTGGGGGAAGACAGATCTCAAGAAACAGTGTCATCTAAGGCTCATGACTATTTCCCAGACAATGAAGGACTGCAGCTGGCAAACATTCCAACCTCTGGAGGTAAGTCATCTTATCCGCCTTCAAAATTCTGTTTCTTAAAACACAGCAAAATTGCTTGAGTTGCATCAGATTTTGGTGCTTCAGCAAGTTTGGTTTTGTTTCTTGCCACACACCTAAATCAGGATTAAACTGTAGTTCAGAATTACAGATTGTGGGCACAAAGTGAATTCCAGTTAGTGGACAAATTCTGATGTCACAAGACATTGTGATTCAGTTGAAGATTTCTTGCTTTAGTAAGTTTTTAGACTTGGTGGAGAGGGTGCATATTCTGAATGTCTTTACCCTTGTTCGTCCAGGGAGTGTAGTTTTTGTGTGTGTCTGAAAACAGCCTCGGTTGCCAGCCCTTTTTATAGAATGCAATAACTTGTCTCAAAAAAGCCCCTTAGTTCATTTTAATGAAACAAGGCATTTGCTCCCCCCCCCCCCGTTTTTGAGGGGTGAAAAAAATTAAAATCTAATCAGTTTACGTACCTGTGATTAATCATGTTTACTAACATGAAGCTGTGTAGGTTAAGTGACTCTCGAGATACCATTAGTTGTCTTATTCATGCCTTCTTGCAACAAAGCCAACAAGTAACATTTTCTACTTATCCTGCTTCATGTGCTGGAAGGGACAAGAGTGCAGACCCCTTGTCATGCGTGGGTATGTTATACTTGAAGAACCCTGATAGACCACTGGGCTGATCCTTCTTGAAAACCTCCAGTGAAAAAGCCTTTATGTCCTTCTAGTTTCCTTATATTGATTAAATTGTTCACCATCAGGAAGTACTTAGTGTCTAAATTCTTAGTCTGTTTTGAAGTCAGTTTAGGCTTGTTTTCTGTCTATAAAATGAACAGTGTTTTTCCTCTCTTCTTTTTGACCTTCTCTTAAGCATTTAGAAATTCCAACTTGCATCTCTTCTCTGTCTTGCTGTAGTCTTACTGTGTTCCTTCAGGTTTTCCTCCTGTGGCTTGACTTCTTAATGTTTTATCCTTTGGAGTTCTTCTCTAAATTCTTTTCAGTGTTTGAATACTTCTTAGAACTGAACAGATAGATAAATGATAGTCATTCTTCACATACATCTTTAATTATTTATTGCTGTAAAACATAACTGACACTTCTCAATGTCACGTAGACAGCCTTGTGTGGCCACATTAGTAACACTGAATAACATTCTGGTCACCCCAGTTCAAAAAGGACATTGCAGCACTAGAAAAGTAGTGGGAAAAGGCAACCAACAGGATTGGGAGGGTGGAGGGACCTCCCTATGAAGAAGAGTAAAAGGTTGGAGCTTTTACAGCAAACTGATGGAGTTTTAAGCATACAGACTTAAAACATTATGCACGGTAAAAAGAAAATGGGGAGGATTTTTCTCCTACTTGGAATCCCCCAGTGAAACTAACTTGGAGTAGATTTAAAGTAGACAAAAGAAATTTCACTATCATGAGATGTACAGAAGGGTACTAACTCTGACATATTCCCCTCCATAAGAACGTAAGATCAGACCTTCTTGATCAGCATCCTGTTTCACACAGTGGCCAACCAGTTACTATGGAGGGCCAACAACAGGGCATAGAGGCCAAGGCTTTCCCCTGAAATTGCCTCCTGGCACTGGTATTCAAAGATTCACTGCCTCTGAATGTGGAGGTTCCCTTTCGTCACCATGGCTAGTAAGTAAAGGTAAAGGTTCCGACTCTAGGGTTGTGGTGCTCATCTCCGTTTCAAAGCCGAAGAGCCAGCGCTGTCCGAAGACGTTTCCGTGGTCATGTGGCCGGCATGACTAAACACCAAGGCGTACGGAACGCTGTTACCTTCCCACCGAAGTGGTACCTGTTTATCTACTTGCAATTTCTTGCTTTCAAACTGCTAGATTGGCAGGAGCTGGAACTAGAGATGGGAGCTCACTCCGTCATGCGGCACCCGGGTCTCCAACTGCTGAACTACTGACCTTTCACAGCCTGCAGTTCAGCGTCTTAACCACTTGAGCCACCGCATAAATGTATCCTCCATGAATCTGTCCAATTACCTTTCTTGTCCAAGCCTGTGGCCATCACTACATACTCTGGCAGTAAATTTCACATATTAATCACTCATTTTATAAAGAAATATTTCCTTTTGCCCATCCTGAATCTACTGTCCGTAAGCTTCATTGGATGTCCTTGAGTTCCATGTGTCCCCTTATCTCTTTTCTAAACTGAAAAGCCCCAGACTCTTCAGCCTTACCTCATAGGAAAGGTGTTCCAACCCCCTAATCATCTTGGTTGCCCTCTTCTGTACCTTTTCCAGCTCTTCAGTGTGTTTTTTGGGGGGATGTTGACAAGATCTCCTTGGTTTTCTTCTGTTTGTAGCAAGTGTATGCTTTGCATGCAGAAGGTCCCAGGTTTAGAGATGTAAAATTTCTGGAAATTTGGAAGCCACAGAAGAAAGGGGCTTTCCTTTCTGTAACCCCCCCCCCCCAGAAATTTGGGGTAAATTGAATATGCAGTATTTCTTTTCCTACTATTTCTGATCTAAGAACATAAATGCATCATTTTTAACTTAGCGAACCTGTACAATTGTACTATAGGCCAGGCAAGCCTGATCTCGGCAGATCTTGGAAGTTAAGAAGGGCCGACCCTGGCAAATATATGGAAGGGTGACCTCCAATGAATACCAGGGCCAGGACGCAGAGGCAGGCAATCAAGCCACCTCTATGAAACGTCCAAACCCCACTAGGGGTCGCCAGAAGTCACCATGACTTCCAGGCTCACAAGCACACGCGCGCGCACCCCAAAAGAGGATGTCCTGAAGAATGTCAACATCTGAATTTTTCAAAATCCTTTGTTTCCTTTATGTAATAATTTTGGGGAGTGATTATGGGGCCTTCAAATGCTGCCCCAGTTGTGTGGGGCCTGCCTTTTCCTGAGCAAGTGCCATGTGGCTAGTGTAGTATTAGTGTGATCCAAGCATGTGGGCAACGGCTGGATGCACAGGTTTTCCCCATGGAAAACCATCTTTTCTCCTGGTGGAGTTCAAATTCAGTGATTAGGATTTGTGTAGTTTGTCCTCACCAACATAGTTGGGTCATTTAAAAGTGGTTCTCTATATGGGAAAGATTGCATTTAAAGAGTCTGTGTTTTTAAATTGGTGTAGACAATGTAGAATAGCTGGCTCCTAATACTGGAGAAGCATAATACAGACTTAATGTCTGTATTATTTATATAATAGGCATAGCGGCTCCACAGTTCCATTTCTTCAGCTGTTATCAGCATGAAGTTATTTTAGATATGCTAGTAGTACATAGATTTGGATTTATTTTATATGTTAACATACCAGTAAGCCTTCTTCTGAAAGAGGGGCTTTGCTAGCATATTTAAAGTTGGTCTGAAGTGTCTAGGAACCACTTCACATAAATGCGAAGCCTTCACACACTTTCAGCCTAACCTACCTCACAGCGTTTTGTGCAGATTAAATGGGGGAGAGGAGAGCTATGTAAGGCACTTTGAGCCCCCATTAGGGAGAAAGGCGGGATATAAATGAAGCAAAATAAATAAATAAAAATGCCTTCCTTACAGAGTGGCGTTCATATGTCTTAATTTGTCAGGAACAGCCATGATGTAAATGTAGCATATGAAGTTGGTCTTATAGAAGACTATAATTGGGTTATGGGAAAGAGTGCACATTCTAGAGAGTAATGGGCTTTAAAATGTTCACAAAATGTATCTGTGTTTTTAAAAAGAAAAACTGCTTACAGAAACTAATTTCTATTTTTCGAATTGATTGCATTTCTAGAAATAGTTTAGTTAGTAAAAGTGTGTGCGTTGTGTAAAATCCAGAGAAAGGAAAGTGCCACGATTTAATGTGAACTGTTGAAATCCAAATAATAAGCTATTAATGATACCCATATTATCTGTCCTTTCACTTTTAATATTTTTCATGAGTTAGGAAGTTTCAGGTACTTCTTATGTAATCTTATGTGTATTAATTAAAAATAGATTACACCGTTTGTATTTTGTACTTAAATTATTTTTTTACTTTGTTTCTCATTGTGGCACCAAAGAAAAATATGCTGTAAGTGAACCTAGACTTCATTATTGTGTATCATTGTCCCTCCCTGCTTCTGCTTGTAAAACCCTGCGTGTTGTGTGCTTTTTTTGTTCTGTATTGGCTGCATGTAGGAAGGAAGGAATGTTGCTCCATTGCTTTTGTTCAGTATCTTATATGCACAGCCTTGTAGCCCTTTCAAGTATTTTCATCTGTAAATACTCTGCCCTCAATGGCCTGGATCACAATGCACAAGTGGCAATTTAGTGCAGTTCTGCTGTCACAAGATCTTATACAACACCTAGTGCTTTGCTTCCTATATATTGTAGTACCCAGAAATTGGTTGCCCAAGATCTTGTGCAAGTGGAAATGTATGCTTGATTTTGTGCAACAGGCTGCTGTGCTCTAGCACAAGTGCAAAGATGCAAGCCATTATTCATTGGTATTCACTACTGAAGGTTCTGTGTTTTGAAGCTTCAGTTGCTACCCTAAATGTGCTTGATAAGCTATGGATGTGGATTTACAAATGTGCTACGGTATATGTTTGTGGTTAGACAGGTTATTTTTTATTTTGATGAGAACATGATTCAAACATCTAAAACACAGAAAACACAGAATCAATCATAACATTTTCCTATTCATTGGTGAATCTGTTGGTATAGTTTGAGAATCTAGTTCTACTCATTTTTAGGTGATGTCAGAAGTGGATATTGTACATTTATTTAAATTCTTAAAGCCTTTAGCCTCTCAGACATTTCAGCTCCTTTTCTTTCCTTTTTAACCAGATCTGTATATCCTACCTTAAGGAAAGAAAACCTTTTCAGTTTTTATGCATCATTTCTGTATTTAGTTTAAATGCTACTTGGGGAGGTCCCACTTAGATGACATTTCAAATAGTGTCTCTTGTTGTCAAGCTCTTTTCCTGTGGATTTTCAATCAAAAATATACACCAGCAGCTACTGCCTGCATACTGTAGTTTGGGGTGTTGTCCTGATGTTTAGATGTTTTCATGGCAAGCACCAAGTCAGATACCATAAGTGAAACATTTTGTAACCCGCCGGAGTTGTGACATTTCCATGTTGTATCTTGATACTTTATATACCAAAATGCAAGTTTCTGTAGTATCCAAGGTATGGTAGCTCTGAGGAAGCGAGATGATGGCTTGCTTATGTTTGAGGATGTACATTTCACTGTTTTGCTTTCTCTCACCATCACAGTTTAATAAAAGTGCTGCGATTTTGCAGAATCATGTTAACATTTTTAAGAGAACAGGACTTGCCATACAGTATTCATAATTTCTGTTCCTGATAGTAAGAAACTGGATTAGTAAATACAGCATAGCATTCTCAATTGGACGTTCAGCTGCAAAATATTTGGGAGGGGGGTAAGAGTTCCATTGTAGAAATGCTACTTTGCTGAATTGTGCAGGATTAGTATTTAGACAAATCTGGTTGACCAGCAGTCTGCCCTTAGTCCGTGAATGCTAGCCCCAACTTGTGTAAAATTATAAAGATTTTAAACCGTGTATTATTCTATGGCCAGTACTTTTAAACACTTGGATTTGTGGTCTATACATTTTTAAATAAGTAACTTGCTACTATATATAAACTTGTCCTATGTGTCATTTAGCCTTTAGACATAGTCCTTGATAAATTATCACTGAAATCCTGTGCAGTTATTCCAGTCTAAACTCACTGAAATTTGACTGGCGTAACTCTACAAAAAATATGTGTTGTATTGCCTATTTCTGTAGGTGGTTACAATTGTCTGTTCCTATGTAAAAACAGCACAATAATGTGTAGTCATAATAATTTCAGTTTCACACATTTTAAAACACTTTTTGGGATACTTTGGCAAGAACCCAAAATTAATTCAAAATTAATAGGAGTAGTAGTTCTGTCTACCTTCTATGTAGCTTTGGACATTCCCACTTCATATGTGTAGTCTGTATCTTTTATTGAATGAGAATTTTGGAATGCTGTTTCATGTATCTTGACTGATAGATTTATGTTGGTGAAATTCTCGTGAGAGTGATTGATCACATGGCGTGTGCATTCTAAATAAAATCGTAGACTGTGCCATCTAATATATGTATTTATCTGTTTACAAAATGTTAGGAACTTGAAACAAAATTGTTCACTGGCGTTAGACAGCAGTAGTATTCTCATGGCATGAAGAACCAGTTTTCAGCAAACTAAATACTAGATCATGCAAGAATCTAATATTTTAAATTGAATATACTTTAGTGGGGTAAAGCAAAAAAAAAACCCAAATAATTTTTTTTTTAATTTATAAGTTTATTTTTCTTAAGCGGCTCATCTTGAAATGCATAGATAGTAATGAGGTAATCACGAACTCAGTCTTTCACCAGAGAAACAAGTGACGCAGTATTGCAAAAGTTAATTATGTGCTATATTGAAAGTAGAGGGACTTAAAAGCATTAGTGTTGTCTGGATCAATCCCTACCCTCACCTCGAATTATGGGGAACTGCTTCAAAATGTATTTTCTTTCATATTTGTAGTATGCCATAATTTGTACTGATTGCTTTTCTGGAGCTTTTTGTTTTTGGCTTGTTGCTGAGAATACCTTTAGTGTGAGATCTTTGTCTTTGCTGTCTTTCCCCCCATGTTACAGTTGTGACTCTACGTGAAGACAGTGCTAGAAGGTTGGAGAGGAGAGCCAGGCGAGTCTCAGCATGTCTGTCCAATTATTCACTGGCTAGTGACAGTGGCGTGTTTGAAGCTTTAAGCAAAAGGTCAGGTGTATTATTGTGTTGTAAATTGGAACTGTAAGGCATAAAAATATTTGGTAAATGCCTTTTTAATATCTATTATTAAATCATGACTAATGCGTAATACTGTAAAAAAGCAGGATGAATTTATTTAAATCATACAATTTAAGCTAATGAATTAAATCAACAAGATAAAAGAATTTAAATCAGTGATTTAGTTCACCTTTCCCGTTTTGCAGTCTCTGCATTTGCTGTTCTTAGGACATATTTGTTTTCAACGAAATAGAGCTGTTTTAATGCTACCTAGTGGCTTTAAAAGCTTTGGTCATGTACTGTGTGTGAGCCTTTGACAAATCAAAGGAGGCTTTGGCAACACATTTGAGAAATCCATTGATTCAGTTGCAATAAAGCATATTAGATTTTAACAGTTTTATATTAAATTAAGATTTCAAATTTAGCCAGTTTTTTTTTTAAAGGGCTTGAATCCTTCAGGAATAGTATGGCTGCAATGTAGAAGGGGAGTTGCACTACAAAGGAAAAATCAGTGGGTACTCCTCTCCCCTATTCTTGCACAAGTGATTTGTGCAAATTCTTCCGTCATTGCATCTCAAGCTACATCCTACTCTATACCCAAGGTTTCCTCTGGGGTGATGGATACAAAGATTTCTTCCACAGTATTCAACTCAGTTCTCTGAGTTGTTTTTATTTTTGTTAAGTGTTCAAGATGACTCCCTAGAACTGTTTCCTAAGGACTCTATAGTGATATGTACCATGTGTCTTGGGAACTTCTTGCTTCAAACATAGCACTTGTTTATACATTCTTTCACATTATGTATTTCAGTCTACAATGCATGCCACCCCTTCAGTGCTACCACATCTGTGTAGTATTAGAATTTTGATCTACAGCTGCTTTTAAAATGTTACAAACTATTGAGAGTGTCACGGCAAGCGATCATTTGATACACATTTTATTTGACCAATTTAAGAATATTAGGAATAGATTTTAGTCCTAACAATAAAGGCTGTGCAAAATGACCATATTTTGGAAAGGGAGGGCCCTGCTGTGTTCAAGAATGAACTAATGTCTGTTATGCTACATGCAGCATTTCCCCCTAAATTTATAAAGCTGTGACATGTTGGAAACAGGAAAAAAATGAGCACATGCTGCAAGAGCAAATATAGGATCTGATGCTCAGAATGTCTGTACTGAATGATTAGAAAAAATATTTCTATAAACAATAGATACCTTCAGCCAGGCCCATAGCTACAGCGAGGCATTTTGGGGCCTGGCCCCCCGACTTCCAGCCAGCCCCCAGGCCCCCCATCTCTCTGGGCCACCCAGGGGACTCCCCACTGCTGCCCCTTCCCCAAGCGTGGCTTGCTTCCCCTTGTAGGCGAACAGAATGCAAACGCTGCAAAAGTGAGTTTTTAAAAAATTATTTTTATTTTATTTTTTATTTTGTGACGTCAGCGCCCCCTGGCTTATTTAAAGGCCTCCTGAATGACAAAATCCTGCCTACAGGCTTGCCTTCAGCCATGAAGAGAACTGCAAGAACATATCTTGGATTCCTAGAAATTTGATGATAGTGCCTGGGGGGGGGGGGGGGACACATCCTTTAATCCTTCGGCATAAGAGTTCAGTTTAAGCTCTTGTGAAGAAGAGCACCATGTTTTGATGATGATAAACACACACACGCATATATCTGTTTTAAAAAAGCACAGCTAATGAATTTTTATTGCCACACTTAAGGGACTTTCAGTATTCACTGGTATATCACTGAGTTCAACAGCTTCTTTGTAATTTAAATTTAACTTTTATTGGAAATCCAGTATAAAATTTCCTATCCAGATAAGGTGGTACTCTGAGCTGCAGTTGAAATCTACACTTTGCATACTGTGAATAGCTCAATTTATTTCATTACAAACGGTAGCAAACTGCTGATCTATGATTAGGTTTTTATTGCTGATCTGTTTTCCCTGTTACATAGGAATGAGGATGTTGAAGAATCACTGTATAGTGATGCAATCAGTGAAGAGCCCAAAATGCAAGTTGGATTTCTGTGAGTATTGTTCTTCTTTCTTGGCCATTGTTAGTTACTAAGATGCGAATGGAAGCCAACGTGCATGAGATACTTAATATCAAGAGTTGTGACTTTAGAGAATAAATAGAATCCAGGCTGTCTTCCAGAATGTTCTTCTGTGTTCCAAAATACAGAGACCTGTGGTGATGGCTTCTTCAGGTTGTTTTGCTGTATTCCTTCATAGCAATCTAGAACAGCACAATCAGCTTTTTGTACATGCGTGATCTTGGACAGCCTGAATAAGTTCTCTCCCCCTAACCTTAGCTGCTCTGCTCAGCAGGCAGTTGTTTAAATAGACAATTAAATCAGCCACCAATCATATAAATAAGTCAAAAATAAATGCTTTGTTTTAATGAAACCCGGGGGGCGGGGGTGCACATGCTCAGTTTTGCCAGACCCCAGTGCAAACTTGTTCAGCAAGTGTTTACAGCTGTTAGACATGAACCAAACAGACTGAGTGATCAGCTCATGTCTGATTGACATTGTTGAACATGGTAAATTCCACTGTCACATGTTAGTAGCAAAATTTGCAGCATCCCTCATGTAAACTGGCTATTAAGTACAAGAAATATCTTCGAATAATACAGTAGTTTAAAGAACAAGGTAAACATTCCTTTGACTCCCAACAGTATGATCCTGGCTTTTAGCAATGTTTCACCTGCCTGGACTCTTTGTAGCTTGTGTTGGGCAAGTAACTCATTGGGCAACTTTTTCCCCCCAGGCATGATGGTGGAAGTGAGTGCCTGCGGGTTCATGTGCTACAACTAATGAATTTTACTGGTCTTGCTGTGAAAGAAGGCTGTAAAATGTAAGCTGAATACTTTTTCCCATGTTGTAATAATTGATTTTCCACCTAGTGGCTCTCTTCGCACCTATACTATATCTTGAAATGTCAAAGTACAAGCAGATTCCAAATGTCTGTTTCTATTTTTCAGTTATATAGCAGTTCATTTACTAGTTAAAAATGGAGTCCTTAAGAGAATAATGCGAAGAACCTCTATGTATCTGTTACAGTGAATGTCTGAAATCTGATTAATTTTGCTGTGTGAACGCTGACAATCCAGGCCGATTTTGCAAATGGCCAAGAACACAGAGTTGCACTGTTGAATGTTAACAGTCACTGGAGTGTGGTTGTCAGCTTTCACCTAGTATATGACCCAGAGCTAGGGACTTATGTCCTTCTTTGTGCCAAAAGAGTTAATGGAAGCTTTTAAAAAAGGAAAATTACAGCTGAAGATGGATTCTTCTTGGACAAGAGCTTGCACAAGTGGAAGAGATAGAACCTACCAAGTACAGCCCTGTGAATTCGATTAACTTCAGTCACTCAGCACTTCAGCCAGGGCAAGCTGTGCAGCCCTGTCCTCTTTCTGTTTGTGGACAGGGACAAAAGCCCAGCTGTCCTGGGGAAGGCATAAGGAGCACAAGCCTGGCAACTGACCGTCCAGTTGTCATCAGGGTAGACAGAACTAGAAAAAACAGAAGACCATCATGAGAACTAGGGTTTGGTGGGATGCCAGCCTAGGTATTACTATACCAGAAGAGATGGGAACATCCCAATATTAAGTGTATTTAATCATTCTGTATAAGCTACCTTAGGGTTTTCTCCAGGAACATAAGTAGAAGTAGAACTCAAATAACAACAATAATGGCTATTTTGTCTCTGTTCATGAATGTTTGGAGCCAGTTCTTTTTTTGTCTTGAGCATTTAACTGAACAGGTGGCTTACAAACATTTTAAATAAGTAAGACTCTCAGACCTTCACAGAGTTTGTCAGGGATTGTCAGGATTCGTTTGTGAACACCATCATTCGTAAAATTGTGGACATTCTCTGTAGTGTACAAATATTTGCAGAACCTTTGTTACAAATTAGCAAATTCCTTGTGCTATTAAAAGAACTCTGAAATTTAATAATGAGAATTATGGTTTGTTCCATTTTACTTAGCTACTTAAAATGACTATAGTGCCAGCATTTGAAAATTTTGACTGCATTTTCCTGTTTACAGACATGTGAGAATATATTTACCATCTCTTGAGTCTGGCACTCCAACCACGTATTGTTCTAGAGCTTTGGAATTCCAAACTCCATTAATATTTAATGAGGTCTTCCGGATCCCTGTTCAGTCAAGTATCCTGAAACTAAAATCACTGCAGCTTTACATCTGTTCAGTTGGCCAGCAGCAACAAGAAGAATTGTTGGTAAGGGGTGTCTTTTTCTGAAAATTCTAATGAGTTATGTATTTTTTTTCTTTACAATTTTAAATGAAATTTCCAGGTTTTTCCCTCCATTTTATTTTACAGAATGAGTAGCCTGTCTTTCCTGTAGCTTAGAGCAGCATACAATGCAATCTAAATGGTAAAATATAATATTCCAATAAAGCAAAAGGGTGGCGGTGGAATACAGATACAGATATATATATATCTCCTGTTTCATATGAGATGTTTCAGACATGGTTTACTGTTGCTTGCATCTAGGCAGAGATCCTGGTATTCCTTGATGGTCTGTCATCTAAATACTGACCAGGGCTGACCCTGCTTAGCTTCCAAGATCCGACAAGATTGGGCTAGCCTAGCACAGGTTTAATTGTCAATGTGTAGTTTTATTTTGTACTCTTCGTGGTGTGGACGAGTTTCAAAGAAGATTAATAATTCCGTTAATCATTTTCTGGGGGGAAATGTACTTTCCCCAGCGGAATACATAGAATAGTGCCTCTATGAATTTTTTCCTTTTAGGACTGTCATCTGTACAGTAGTAAACAAAGTACAACCACTTGCTGCTTGCAGTTTCTTCTGCAAACAAAAAAACATTTTGTCATAAAACAGTCATGGAAAAATCAACCCATTTATCAGTGGGTGGGTGTGCCCCAGAGTGTGTAATGGATTGTGGATGTTGGAGGTAGAACCTCCATGAAGATTTTATGCCAGAAAGTATTGTTCCAGGGAAACATTATTAAGTTGCCTTGGAGAGATACAGCCCCTCCTTATTTTCAGAGAAAGACAACCTGATAACATTCCTCAGAGACTGGTATGAGGTATTAAATAGGGTGTGTGTGTCTAAACGAAAGAATCATTACATCTCCTGTGAGAATGAGTATCTAGGTTTGGGATATTAGAAACAAGTTCTGGAAGTTGTGAAACTGAATTTTGTCTCCCAAAACCTGATTATTTATTTTTGTGGGGCATTCAAGTACTCTGAGATACATCTGAATGTTTGTACAATAGTGACTTTCCCCCCAGAGTTTTTCTTTAAATTATGATGAAATGCCTATGTGAATTGTTCAGTACGGGAAATAAAATGTAGATTCTCATCATGCTTCCATTTAAGGATAAATTTTCCACCTGGGTTCTTTTTCTTAAGCACATTCATTTCTAGGGTTAGCAATAACTATGTATACTATTTTTTTCTGAATGTGACAGTTTGCAGATAATGCAGCCTAACTAATGAAGAAGAGATAGCTAATTAATAGTTTTAGTAAAAAGGTAAAGGTAAAGGTTCCCTTGCTCGAAAGCCAGTCGAATCCGACTCTAGGGTTGCGATGTTCATCTCCGTTTCAAAGCCGAAGAGCCAGCGCTGTCCGAAGACGTTTCCGTGGTCATGTGGCCGGCATGACTAAACACCAAGGCGCACGGAACGCTGTTACCTTCCCACCGAAGTGGTCCCTATTTATCTACTTGCAATTTCTTGCTTTCAAACTGCTAGGTTGGCAGGAGCTGGAACTAGAGACGGGAGCTCACCCCGTCTTGCGGCACCCAGGTCTTGAACTGCTGAACTACTGACCTTCCACAGCCTGCAGCTAAAATTCTTAATTTTTTCAAAAGAAAATGAGATAATTTAGTAGTAGTAGTAGTAGTAGTAGTAGTATTTTGACCATTAAAGTGTGGTTATGATACATTGATTCACTTTTCTTTTATTTAAGCTAAATGTGTGTGTCTGCTTAAAATACTAAAATAATCCTTAAAAGACTAAAATAATCCTTCTCTGCCTGTAGGATGTCAATATTTATGGAAGATGTCAAAGATATATATTCATTTTTCTGGCCAGAGAAATTCTTTTTAAATACAGAGCAGATTATAAATGTGCATTTGTCATTGAATTCTTTGAATAATTTGCTATAATTTAGCTGTTTTCTATATTTATTTTAAGCACTTCTCTGTTATGCTCGATCCACCTGTTTAAACACAGATCCAGGGAGCATTCTTCCATGAACGCAATAAAACAAATATTTAACATATTTTCTAACCTTTTTTTGTGTGGGTGCAGAAATAAAGTTAGTATTTCTGAATGGCTTTGTACAGCTGCTGAATTGTTGCATACCATTCAGATTTTTAAAAGATTTATACCCATGCTTTTTAAACATAAGAGCCCCCTACTGGTATATTGTTAGGAAGCACAAAAACTAGAGGTAAATGTGAAGGTAAATAATACTGAAAATATTTTTAGGATTTTAAAATAAATTTCTGTTTGCACATTCAAACTGAATCCAAAGAACTGTAAGGAGAGCTCCACTTATGGATCGGATCTTTCCCATCTCCCCCATCTTCTACAGCCCTCCATGTTACTCAAGAAGCTAGGCTGAGAATAGAAAACCCCCCTGTGCGAGCCAGAGTGGATCTAATCCATAATGTCTCTTAGAAATTATGGTAGAGTCAGTGCATGCTCTATTTCCTCTTAATTTACTTCTCAATCTTTTTCTCCCCACTCATTCTCTAAAAGGCACCGTAGTGTAATAAACAGTGTAAAAACATCTTGGACTTGATCCGGGGAAGACTGTTGAAGTTCATTGGGTGGTCCTTAACCAAACTGTTAGCTTGGTTTTATACGTCATGTGAAACAATGTGTGAGGGAGCAGACTCACATGCCCCATTCATTCTGGACCCCAGGAGGTTCGAAGAGCCCTATGCCCATCCCAAGTTTCTTTGCACTGCTACTGCTTCCCTTACTCTTGCAGGGTACTGAAAACAAACAATGTAATAATTGCTGCCACCAGAAACTCTGAGAGTATAGCCTGCTAGTCAGAGTTCCACATCTCGTACCCTAAATCTGTATTGTCATTTAAGGCTCTGCCTAGTTGCTGTGCCTTCCACTTTGCTCCCACAAGCTAGCACCAGAATGATCTATTGCAATGTCACAGTTTTGAGCTATTGTAAGCCTGCACACTAGCTGTACCCATTACTGCCCTTTAGATATCAAGACTGAATACTCAGGCATGTTTATAGATATTAGGCTTTAAGCATTCAAAATATAAGAAAATTTAAACAGAAATAAAGATTATATGATTTATTCAATAATCAGGCTGCACAAGGATATAAGAAAAAGGTAAAAACATGCAATCCTCTCACCCTACGCTTGGTATTTATCTTAAATTATGTTTGATTAGGATAGTAGTTCTTGAATCTGTAGTAGATAAAATTCCATTATTAACCTTAGTTCTCAGAGTTGGTGCCTCTCCCCATTGTCTATATGGGCAAGGTGGAGTCCTAGGTAAAGCCTTAGTCCTTCATGTCTTGTGCCCATCCAAGATGAAGAGCTTTCCCCCCTGTTTCTTTAGTGCCCTGGGTTGTTCTGATCTTCCTGCCTCAAGAGGAAGAGAAAAGTAGCCATTTGGCTGTCCACACCTCTGTCCTCTGACATGCTAGCACACTGTGAGAATGGCAAACCCTTTGTTTTTCTGTGGCCCACCATTTGCCATAAATAAGAGTGGGAGTGCTCTGTGCTTTGAGTGATGGGTCTCCATGAGAGAGGTGGGGGGAAAGAGCACCGTTGATGAAACCAACATTTGTAGAGTCAAGTCAGGACTGAGTGACCTATAAGATGGATCCTGGATTCTCAAGCTAACCATAGTTAAAATAAACCATGGTGTTGTATTATGTCTAAAGCAAGACACTAGCTTAGTTGGCATTATTCACAGGGCTGATGTGGGTATAGACTCCATTTTCTCTTAATAAACAGGATATAAGTACTGATTGTAAAGTAATGGTGCCTTAGAGCCAGTTTGGTGTAGTAGTTAAGTGTGCGGACTCTAATCTGGGAGAACCGGGTTTGATTCCCCACTCCTCCACTTGCACCTGCTGATGTGACCTTGGGTCAGTCACAAGCTCTGGCACAGCTGTCCTTGAAAAAGAGCAGTTTGTGTCGGAGTTCTCTTAGCCCCACCCACCTCACAGGGCGTTCGTTGTGGGGAGGGGAAGGGAGAGGAGTTTGTAAGCCGCTCTGAGACTCCAAGTGAAGGGCAGGGTATAAATCCAATCTCTTCTTCTTCTTCTAATGCATGCAAACCTGTTTTGGGCATTCGAATGAGCTTTTCCTATTTTAAGGAATTGTCTTGTATATAGGAAATAGTTTCACTAATGATTGCAGATTGACTTGATTGACTCATCTTGCTTTATTACCTTCATAGGGCATTGCTCAAATTAGCCTCGCAGGCTATGAGAGTTCGAGTGAGATGCAGCTTAACTGGTACCCTATCCAAATCTTCAATGGCTCAGATTGTCAACTGACTAAGGACAATCCCAAGTGTGAAGAAAGCACTGCTCAATGTTCTGAAAACAAAACTACAGTGAAAATGGTAAACTGTTAAAGTGGCTTGTTGAAAAATCTGAGCCATTCCACATTGCCATATTTAAACGCTGAAGTAAGATACCCATATTGAAACTTTGAAGTAACATATCCTGCTTTGTATAACTGGTTTGTTGCAGATCACACTCTGTCATGCCTCTGAGTTTGTATGGCGACCCCAGCAAGGGGCTTTCAAGGAAAATGAGATGCAGAGATGGTTGCTATTGACTTCCTCTGTAGAATCTTTCTTAGTGGTCTCCATTCCAAGTACCAACCCCGCTTAGCTTCCAAGATCTGATGGGATTGGGCTATAACATGCCATCGTCCCTCCCCCTGTCATCCCTATACTCCCAGGGAAAAGTTAATTATGATTCTGTCTCTGAAAGAGAGTAGTATATGCTTTGAATCTCACTTTCCATTCTAGGATGCCGTGACTGCCCTATTAGCTAAGACCAAAGCTCAACTGCAAGCTGTAGAAAGAGAACTAGCAAAGGAGACAGTAAAACTGGAATACACAGAAGAGGAATTACTAGAGATGGAACAAAAGGAAGATCGGGTTGAAGCAGTATCAGAGAGGTAACTTTCTAAAATAGAGCTGATAGAGAACCTGCAGAGATGAAGATTGGAATTATATGCAGATAAAGAGAGTGTCATATCTTGCATGGTACACATCTGAAAGAAAAGAGGAGAGGTTCTTCTGTGATCTATGAACTTGAAAGAAGCCAATAGTGTTTTTTTTATTCCAGACTCATGATGACAAAGTCTGGTGTTTAGGGGGAAAAGTATTAACAAAAGCAAAAGCATGCTTATGGGGACATCACTAGAAGTAAGAGGTGTTGGGATAAGTAGGTTGGTAAGAAGTGCTGGGACAAAACTAGACGTAAAATTAGTCTTATGTAATGTACTCTGTGTCTGGTTCATTACTTAGATGCTGTTGCATGTTAATTCCATAGCCTTCCATGTTAATCTTTGGAAGTCTGAGTTGACAGATTCATAACAAAGCAGCAGCAGTATTCATCTTTATCTAATTGATGATTCTGACTTGTGGTCATTTGGAGGGGTTCTGGGGAACTAATACACTCTAATAATTCCAATGCAGCTGTCCACTTGCCCCTAATAGTATGTATCTTCTCTCTGCCCTCCCATCCCAAGGCCAAACACATAAAAGCACATTTCACTTGTTCTGTGTATCATTCTTATATTTTGTCTTCAGGAGTTGGCAAGCAGAATCAGTTGACAGTGGATGTAGTAATTGCACGCAGACCAGTCCTCATTACCCAGAGACTTATTGTGGTGAAACATTACATATGTTTGTGGCTCAGACAGATGAGTATACTTCTGGAAAAGTCCAGCCTCCTCCTCTAAAGGTAAGTACATATCACACCTGGAGTTGGTAACCGCTTGCATTTTGATCCCACCTTTCCTTCAAGCAACTCAGTTTGACTCTGCCCTCCTTTATTTTATTTATTCTTTAACATAGGTTAAGTTGAAAGAGCATGATTGGTCTAACGTAACCCTACAGAGCTTCTTGTGGAGATTTGAACCTTGGTCTTCAAATCCTAATCAGTCATTGTGGCAACAATGCCATCGTGACTCTCATGTTCGAGCTTTTACCTCCCTGATCTTGCTATTCTATGCCTTGGGGTGGTCTGGTATAGCCTTCCAAGCAATGTAGCCTCGTTTTCATCTCTCTAGGTGCCTGACTCCAATACTTTGGGTTGAGGTGGGATGCCGCTCTAACATGTGGCATATATTCCAGCATCTTCATGTTAGGGTAGGCTGGAGTTCTGGCATTCACATCACTGCTATTGAAATTATAGTGATACTTTCTTATTGGTGCCTTAGTGATTGACATTAGGGTTGGGCAGTTTACTATTAAAGGATATTATAAACAGCAAGAAATGGGATTGTGCTTTTCTTTTGGAAGAATTGTAATAGAATGTTTTGGTTTTGCCATCTGATGTAGGTGGATAAGGAGACCAACACAGAAGATCTCTTCCCAGAAGAAATGGCTTTGCTTCACAAAAGCAGAACTAGCCGTCGATCCCGAGGGTCTGCATTTGTTCGCAGTAGTACTATTGTTCGCTCACAGACATTCTCTCCTGGTGCACGAAGTCAGTATGTTTGTCGAGTGAGTAGAAATCACTTAATGGCATTGCTCTCGAACAAGCAGATTTGAACTGTGATTTCAAGCTGAATTGTATTTAAAATACTGTATCATTTGCTGTAACCTCACCTGAGAGTGACTGCCTTTCCTGTATGAGGACCCAAGCTTAGATCTTCCCATCTCTCAGGGAAATCTTCTGCCTGAAACCTTAGAAAACTTTTCTCAGGACATATGAATATTCTGGGTACGTGTTTCTAGATTACCTGGAAAAAATTCTTTTAAGCAGAAAAGCATTTTTATCCTGCACTTAGTGTAAAACTACTATTCTCCCTAGTAGGTAGGACTGTCCTCTTTTCTTACTTAGAAGGCAGGCCAGATCTTTATTGGTTTTTACTTGCTTTGGAAACAGGTTTCAAGCTGTGCTTCTAAGGATTCAGTCTTTTGATTTCTTTTTTGTATGTGGGTACACATTTTTTTTCCTATCGCGTTGTTGCCTCATGATACATCCAGATAGGACACACCAAACTTGGAAAAGGAAAGATAAACCATGGCTGTGGGCCTGCATCAGACCAGTCCATCCTTATCTCCACTGGTTGGAGCCTCCATCTTCTTACTAGCTAGTCCTTTCCTCTCAGGCTAAACCAGACAATGTGCGCCCCAATTCCTCTCACAGATTAAGGCTTTGGTTTTTAGTGCCGTTCAAGATGCAGTGTCATTTAAGCAAAGCAACAAGGGGGAAACCTGTTGGTTTCATTCCAGGACCCAAGGAAAAGGTTATGCAAGAGACGCTCCAGGGACTGCTGCAGTTGTAAGAAGAATCATAGACCATTGTCCGTAAATTCCTTTTCTAGCTCTGATATCCAGGAATTATTTATATCTTCACATGACTCTGATAGCCTCAGGCTCTTCAGTTGCTGAAAATCTTCTCAGGTCCCTTTACCTGGCAGAATCTGAGCTTTCACTTTCCTCAGGGGAAGAAGAGCAGAAGCAGTTCTGGGTGGGAGGGATCTTTGGGATTCCTGCAACGCATGCCACTTCTAGTAGGGCCATCTGTTATTGCCTGTTACTGACAACTTGATGTGTCATATAATTTTCCATCAGCTATACCGCAGTGACAGTGACAGTTCAACCCTGCCAAGGAAGTCACCCTTCATCAGAAATACTTTGGAAAGGCGAACGCTGCGTTATAAGCAGGTATAGCATATAAAATTGAATATGTCACCATCAGTGGTTTTGCACTGTTGAGGTGTTAGGGGAAAAGGAAGTGGGATTTCTACTTCATTTAAAATATTGTTAATAATGTTTGGTATTACAATACAGTAAATATGAATTGTAGCCGTGAAAAAAACGGTTGCAGTAGTGAACCAATTTTTAGATTTCTGTCAAATTGATTTGGCTTGTTTGGAAGGCTACATGATGCCTTGTAAGGTAAGACAGTCTGGAGAAAACCCAGTTCGTATTCAGCCGTCTAGCACTGTTTCTGTTCGTTCTTTTGTTAGTTTTGTTAGTCTTACTGCCACAATTTTATATTAATATTTCAGCAGTCCTGTAGGTCATCTTTGGCTGACCTTATGGAAAGGACATCACTAGACCTGGAGCTGGATCTCCAGGCCATCAGAACGAAGCAAAGGCAGCTGAATGAGGACATATGCACTCTGAGAGAGCTGCAGCAGCGCCTGGAGGATGCTCAGCGTCGAGGGCAAACTGATCTGCCTCATTGGGTCCTTCGGGATGAACGATTCCGAAATTTGCTGAAGGAGGCAGAGAGACAGGTATGACACCATGGAGTCTACAGAAGACACTGTTCAGTTTTAGATGATTATGTATAAAATAACTGAGATAAGGAACTGGGCTTTATGAGAGTTTTAAAACAGTGATATTAGTAAATGTTACAGAACCAATGTTTAATTTCAGTGTCAGGAAGAGCAAGATGTCAGTCTTTGTCAGAGCCAGTTTGGTGTAGTGGTTAAGTGTGAGGACTCTAATCTGGGAGAACCGGGTTTGATTCCCCACTCCTCCACTTGCACCTGCTGATGTGACCTTGGGTCAGTCACCAGCTCTGGCACAGCTGTCCTTGAAAAAGAGCAGTTTGTGTCAGAGTTCTCTCAGCCCCACCTACCTCACAGGGTGTCTGTTGTGGGGAGGGGAAGGGAAAGGAGTTTGTAAGCCGCTCTGAGACTCCAAGTGAAGGGCGGGGTATAAATCCAATCTTTTCTTCTTCTTCTTCTTCTTTGTGCAGCTGATCTCACCACCACCCCGGTCTTGCAAATGTTCTGACTGCCAAGCTCTTCAAGCACGTGTGTCATGCATCTGGATTGGTGACACGGTTAGGAAATTGGGGGAGGCCGGTAGGCTAGGACGGACTTTATTTTGCCCTGTCTTAGGAATGAGTGTGAGAAGTAGCTGACTCCAGGATGCTTTCCAGTGAAGAGAACAAGCTTTCATAATACATCTAATGCTTTTACGTGTAATGCTTGTGCCCCTCTATTTTCTCTTTAGACAAGACAGACCAAATTTGAACATCGTCAACAACAAGCAGCTGAAAAATTGCTCAAGAAAGCTTCCAAAGAAGTGTACCAGCTACGTGGTCAAAACCAGAAGGAGCCTATTCAGGTGCAGACCTTCCGGTAAGGAGTTAGATGCCCCTATTAAGTTTATCCTTTCAAATAGATTCTAATGTGCTAATGTGTTGTTACTTCAGAGTATCATCTTCCCTGATGTTTATGTTGCTAACATCCCATGTCTTCTTCATTACCTTTTTTCTTGCTTCTCTATATAACGTTAATACATACACATTTCTGTGGTTTGAGTTCATGTTCCACTGGCAAACTTAGTATGAGTTTGTCATATAAAATGCAAGTACAGTAATATACAAAGGTGTTCCATAGTGGAGATTTATAGTAAACTAATATTAGTAATGGACGAGCAACCTATGTATATATCTGTTTCTCATGTGTGGGCAGATTTATAGATATCTAAAATTATACTGGGTGTTAAAACCCCTCTGATGCTGCAGCTGAAGAGGAGGTCAAGGTAAGGGGGTGAGATATTGGGAATATTGACTGAGAAGGGGAGAGTGGAGAAAGAGAGAGTGGAGATCGAGAGGGGGAGAAAGGGGGTAAGAGTGTCAGGAAATGGGAAGAAGGGAGAAATAGAGGTGGGAAGATTGACAGAGAAGGGGAGGGGGAGAAAGAAGGCCTGGAAGGCTGTCTGAGAAGGAGGAAGAGGGAAAGAAGCAAAGATGAGGGGATGGAATGCATCCTCCCTGCAAGTTTCTTGTGGGTCCCAGGGGTCATTTCGTAGAAAAAGAGGTGCAGGAGCTCATTAGCATACCACATTAGCATAACATATTTGCATATGCCACCCCCCGTGACATCACCGGAAGTATGTCAGAAGGCAACATCCACTGCTCAGGCTCCACCCCAAAAATCTCCAAGTATTTCCCAACTCAGAGCTGGCAAGCCTACCTGGAGGAACAATTTGGGAAGCAGGCTTTTCTCATATATTTCTTTCTCATACAAACTACAGCTGCAACCTTGTGCCTGCTTAAAGGGGTTTAGTAATTTAGGCAATATAATGATTAACTGAAGAGAACAAGGGGGTAAAATGGACCGCAGCACTGCAGACTGATTTTTGGAACAGCTCTCCTTGGCCAAAAACTCTTTGCAGATGGATAACCTGCATAGCATGATAGATTCAGGAGGGGTAGCTGTGTTGGTCAGAAGCAATGGGGCAAAGTTGGAGTCCAGAAGCACCTTTAAGACCAACAAAGTTTAATTCTGGATATCTCATGTGCATGCACGCTTCTTCAGATACAGCAAGCTGAGGGATGGGTAGAAGTTTTTCCCCTGCTGTGCTAGCTTTTCACTTGCAGGTCAGGTAATGCATGAAGGAGGATGTTGGGCAAAGCTGGGAGGCGAGGTGGGTTCTGCTGAGTCTCGTGCAGTCTGGGGGCTCCGGCGTCATTGGCGCCCCTCTCGCCAGGCACCGCCTGCCCGATGCCCTCTGCGCAGCCAAGCTTCCCGGCAGCCATTCCCCCCCCCCCCCCCCGCCTCCTTCTGCTCGGACTTACCCATGACGAGCAGCAGCCGTTGCGCTGCAACCAGCTGGGCTGGGATCATCAGGCATGTGGCCGCTCCCTTGGGTTTTATGCCCTGGCGGAGGCAGCGGAAGCCAACGGGGTCTTCGAATTTCCCCGCTGATGGAATCGACGGCACGGCCATGCCTCGACCAAACAGGTGCTGCCACCGCTCAGCCTTGCCCACCACGCTTGCACTAAAGAAGGGTGGCGGGAGGCCAGCTGGAGGAGGTTGACGCAGCTGGGGTTGGTGGTCCCAGGCAGCTCCGCTTTCCCTCCAGGCCCGGGGCACGGCTGGGTTCTGGCTTTGGTGTTCTTGGGAAGGGAGGGGCCTTTAGCTTAGCCATCTGGCTGCACAGCAGACCAAAGGACCAGCCAAGCGGAAGGCATGGGGGAGGCAGTGGTGGGACCCTGGCCGCCAGAGACAGCCACCTGCAGCAGCACCCTGATGACAAGGACAGCCTCTCATTCGCCAGCCCTGCTAGGAGCTACTGGGAGCCTTGCAAGGGCTGCTAGGAGCAGGGGAGGGCTTGGTCATGTGCTCGCCCCCCCGGGCTCCTCACTCCTGGAGCACCGCTCCTGTGCGCTCCAGCTCCAACCGACCCCTGGTGGGTCCCTACCAATGTTCCCTCTAAGCTGTGGAATCTTGTGAGCAAAAATTCTACTTTGTGAGCAACTGGCATTCAAGTTGTGAGCAAGCGATTTGGCTACTGCATCAATTAGTTTGCTCTGGAGCCCTCCTTCCTGAGCTGAGACAAAAATGTGTGAGCTGGAGGCTAAAAAACTGAGCTAGCTCACACTAACTCAGCTTAGAGGGAACACTGGTCCCTACTTGTAAATATTCTAAAATAATGGGGGACTTTGTGCATTGGTCCCTAGGAAGCCTTGCATTAGGAACCATGCAATGAGATATGGCCCTAAATTTTATACCCATTGTTTTTGTGGATGCCAAGCTGTGACTTATTCATAAAAAATTATGTTTAGGATATACTGGACCCCCGGGGCACCTTTTTAGTAGAGAACTAAGTAATGTGTCTAATTGCTGATGTTATAGTTCATATGGTATGGCTCTTAAACATACACTTTGGGTCTCTCCAGTTATTTGGAAGTAATTATATCAATTTTGTATTAGAATATTCATTGGTGTTTGGGGATCCTTATGTACTTTTAAATTATTTGTCTGTCTCCTGGAGACTTAACTGATGATCAATGAAAATGGACTCTCCATGTCCTTAGTGTTGCTAAAAGACTTCTATGACAACACTGGGGGGGAAAAGCCCACCTCCAGTAATCCAGTGAATTGAGGACCTTCCAACCTGATTGACATTTGAATGTATTGCATATAGAAGACAATTGCACAGGAGCATATTTTTATATATATGGAAACCTTTTATAAATGTAACTTGCCACCATTGCTGTTATATTTTGTTATATATTCTGTTTGAGGGGTTGATTTATAGTAATTTTAAAAAATGTATTATGAACAGTGCAACATAAACAAACAGATGGCTTAGAACGCCAGACTAAGGTCTGGTTCTTGCTGAGATAGTACCACTTCAGACTACTGCTGGGATCATATACTTGAGTGCTCTTCCATGCAAAAATTTCCCTGTAGATAGAAATGTAGTTATCGGGGAGAATGGTTCTAGTTGATCCATCTTAATATAAAGTTTGTGGCCCAAGTTAAGAGATCCAGTCCTGGGGGAGAAATTAAAAAAAAAAATTATTTACTTCATTTATAGTTTAGTTTTTTCATTGAGATTCAGGACAAATTCCAGAACTATAAAGCAGTGCAAAAGATACTAGTTTCTAGTATCTGAAACAAGACTGGATTACAAAACTAGAGAACAATGAAAGAAAAACAGTATTGTACATTCAGTAAAAGGGAATTTAAAGAAGTGCTTAAGATTTTTCACGGACATTAAAACTACAACCCTTTTAGTAACAAAATAGGAACAAAATCATTTACTTTGCAGTTGTCATGTTTTCAAGTCTTCTGGTGCTTCATGTTTCTATCTTTTGTTTGCAAAAATATGTACACATTTTATAGCTAAATTTGCAAGTCTGCACACAGTGGTTTACATTTAATGGACATATATTAAGCAAATGTAGAGTATTTATATAAAGAGTGTAAAAATAAAAATGCCCTCACTTCTATAGAGGGTCTGTGTATGATTTGACAAATATGGCGAACCTTTGTTGGCCCTTTTAATAGTATGAAACTGAAACTGCTACAAGATTTTTTGGTCTGCAATTTCTTTAAACAGATGTCTTTAAACAGATCAAATGTAAGCGAAATTTCTTCGGTAAATTCGTTTGAATTTGTTATAAAAGTGGGGTTGAGAACTGCTACTAATTTCAGTTGTCACTTATAACTAATAATCTCTCTCTCCCCATCCCCATCTATAGGGAGAAGATGGCATTCTTTACAAGGCCAAGGATCAACATACCTCCTCTGCCAGCTGATGATGTATGACATGTTACTTTGTAAACATGAAGTATTTCTCTGCTTGTTCTTACTTTAAGATGAAGTTACTAGGCTAGTTAAGTTTATTTTGTAAAATTGTTGTGCAAAGACTATTAATATACACATTTTGTAAAAAAAATTTAAAAGTAAACAAAAACATATATATAAATATATACATATATATTTTATAATAGTGACTGCAGCAAGGGTTGTTTTTTCCTTGTTGTGAAATTGACATCTCTGATGACAAGTTATTTTATATGGGGGGGGGGGAAATCAACTATCCTGTTAGAGCATGTACAGTTTTTATGCCATTTTATTTTACTTAAAAGGCTGGAAGACAGAAACAAAGTGAGTTCAGGCAAATTCACTGTATTGTAATTTATTTATAGTAACTCATTTTCCTTGAAGGAAAATATCTACTTTAAGATGTATTTTAAAGACTAAAATTTTGTTACCCAGTATTTGTCATACAGTAGAATGGAACCATTGAGCTGGTTTTGTTTCTGATAGCTGAAATGAAAATACTATGTTCTCAATTTGTCACTTTTTAATCAGCTTTGCTGTCTGTATCTTATAATGTAACATGTATTTTTGGCACTATCTGAAATCAAAGTATCACCTGCAGTGTTAGATTTTTTAAAAATCTGTTAAAACGCCATTAAACATTGCATGGTGCACCTACATTTTTTAATTCTGCATTAGTAGATCGTTCTAATTTCAGTGGTGTCAAATATGTCTTTTATGACTTTGACATGTTTTTTTCTTTCTTTTTAACGAGGGAAGGAACAAGGTGACAGGTCTCTATTTAGCTGTTTTAGGAAAGGGCCTTGTGAGCGTACTGTATTAATGAGTAATATGTATTAATAGAGTTTTTTATGCATATGTTACAGAAATCATTTAGGTCTGGATTCAGGGAATCATCCCAGTTATCACAGAACTACTCATTTCCTTAGAGTTCCTCCTAGGTCTTACATTCCAAGGTTTATTGTGTCCAGTAGAATATCACTTTCTTAAAACTATGATTCAAAAAAATAAAAACCAATTTTGCATCTGATGTTTAATCCTAGTGCCCCAATAAAGTGGGACCCATTTCATATAGTTTGGGTGCAACTCAAACAGCAGCTTGTTTGGAGAAGCACAATAAAAATAATGTGGCTTTTGGAAGTGATTCTACTCTGCAGAATAATCCAGATGTTTTTTACCTGTCCTTTTCAGTTTATGTGAGCCTTAGCAGAAAACTGTCTGTACATTTTCAGTGTCTTTCTGATTATTCTTTGCTAGAAATCTGCTGGGCTTTTCAGGATTTCACATCTGCTGCTATGCAAGTTCAACCATGTGGAATGTTCCTACAATCTTACAAATATAAACCAAAATGCTAATGGTGAATTTGTTCATTTTAAACTTGTTGCTAGTTCTTTCATGTGTTCATTTTCTGCTTATTTTTGTTCTATGGTTTTCTTCCGTGTCACTCATCATTTTACACTGTAATCCCTAACTCCCGTTTTTCTAGTAGCCTTTTCTGACTTTTTCATGCATGTTTTTAAGGACATTGCCATTTTTCTAGCACTAATACTGGACTAATTGCCTTTGCATGGTCTGAAACCAATGTAGACCCCTACTTTGTCCCTGTGTTGTCCCTGAACAAAATGAGTGTTGGAAGAAAGGGTGGAGGGAGCTGCAAGAGGAAGCAGGAAGGTCCATAGATAATTGGGGACGCACTACTGCTAATGTTCCTTTAAAATTCGTAAATTGGCAATAGGGACTAAAATCCAGTCATCAAATTTCACCTTAGATCAGTTGGGCTCTATAGCTTTAGAAGAAAAAGTTCCCTTGCTTGTACTTTTCTGTTAAAATTGAACTGTCACCTTAAATTCCCGAAAAATGCCACTTTTTTGCGTCTTGCAAGTGTATGAAAATGTTATGCTATTATATTCAGCTTCAGTTTTCCAAAGAATTATGTCCTACTAAAGCAAGCCTTCTTTTTTTGTAAAATCTACACGGTTTTTTTTATATAGGACACCATCAAGTCGAACTTTTGGTTTTAGTTACAATCTAAGAATGCCTTAAGGAGGCCTGATACCAAAGAAAGTCATCATTGTGTCAGAATCAAATCCGTATTCCCTGCAGTATTTGGTGCACAAACATTGAGTTAACTTTATGCAGACTATTAAACCTTCATTACTTTTTTTGCAATTGTGATTAAGCAACATATACTGCAGATAATTATAATCAAGATAGTGTCTGAGTATGTTAAATTAACATGAAATTTGGTTTTGTAAATCACATCTCTGTCTTCATCTGATTGAAAAAACTTGCAGCATAATCATAACTGAAAATAAAAATGTTTGGCATTGTCATCAATGTCTGCTCTATAGCATCTCTTTGGTGTGTGTTCAGTTTTAAATACTGATCCCAGAATATTAAAACAAGCTAACGGGAAGAAATAGTTGAAGCTGGGATGGAAGCCTAAAGGAAAACAATATTATATTCAGTAGTTAGGAGGAACAGAAACATTTGTTTACAATGGCTGCCATTTTAAATGTCAGTATTTTCCAACAGTCATCATGAAATGGTCTTGAGTTATTGCATTCTTGTACAGGGTAATCCTTGATCTCTTGGGGTTAAGTTTCAGCAGCTCTGATGCTCTTTTTGGAATGTAGTAATGGAAGGGTTTCCTATTTTTTTTGTTTTTGTTTTTCAGTGTCTAGGTATATGATTAGCACACATACAGAGCAGTCTCCATCATCATTATACTTGTGTGTGATGACAGCAGTTTGCTTAACATTTTGACATTTCTTGCAAAAAATTGTGATTAGCTTTTGTTTGTGTATGTTGTCAAATGGTGTACGTGGAACTCTGCCTACTTTTGGAGCTTCCTGGTATAAAGTGTTGCTGGGTTATAGTGGTAGTCAATGGACAGTATCCCCAGTGTCAAAGGAGGACAAGAGTTTGTCAAAATGAATACTATTTCAGTGTGTTAAAAATAATGTACTTTTCAGTATTCGTTTCTTGTTTGTCACAGTTTCTGAATGATTGTGTCATTTATATTTGAAAAGTATTCTGCGAAAAATAAAAAAAATCTTGCCATAAGTACAGCACTTTGTGTATATATGTTGCAATTAAGTAGAGCTAGAATTAAATAAATAACTTTAAAAGGGAACCTTATCAGGAATTTCATTTGTTGTTGATTGGCTACATTTAAGATCTGGGCTAATTTCCCCCCCCCCCCCAAGGAAATGCCACAAACAGGGTAGTATGACTGCTATCGGCCTGGACTTTTCCAAGTGTTTGTGAGACAGTTCTACTAGGGTTGCCAAGTCTACTCACCAGTCGCAGCGGGGGAGCCTCGCTGGGCTCCGGGAGCTTGCGGTGGACGCGCGCGCTGGCAGCACGTCACAGGAAGTTACGTGCTACGTGCTCACGTTGGGGGCGTGGCTCAGATCGTTGGGGGGGAACCATATGTTTTCCCCCCGATGATCTGGGCCACGCCCCCAATGTGAGCAACGTGGCTGCATCACCTCCGGTGACACAGCCTTGGGGGGTGGAGTTCCCCCCGGGGCCCAATTCCACCGCGGTGGAAATCGGGCCTTCAAAGCGTGGGATTCCCCACCCCCGCCCACATTTGGAAGCCCTAAGTTCTACACATGATGGCCACATTCAGTATGGTGATAACAATATATATACTGCTATCACAGTTTGGTTGCCATAACATGCACAGTAATTTCAAAGCAGGTGGCAGTCATTCCTTCATTCTTAGGCCAATTGACTTTAGAACAGCAAGTAAATGTGGGACTGAAAGAAAGTTAAAATGTTTTGCTGTTTCAATAGGACCAATCCTCCCAGTAGAAGGAAGAAAAAACTTTTTTAAAAATTATGGGCCAGGGAAGATAAGATATTTAGAAAAGCAGACATTTTATTAAATTTAATATTGAATTTTAGATTTAGTATTATAATGTTGTGTTCTGGTCACATATAGTGCACAAGGTCATGGGAAATAATGGGCTGGGAGCTGTGGAAAAGATCTGCACAGAAGAGGAGGAAGGCAATTTTTGCCAACTTCCCTCCCCCCCGCAGCAGCAGCTCTTCAATTCTCCCATACTGCTCCTGGGAGGTCTCCTTTCCCCTACTAGTAGGTCTCAATTCCAGTCAAGAATATAAGGACATCTTGACCCTCTTTGCACTCACTTGGGCAGCATGTGTATCTGTGTGTGTGTGGGGGGGGGTCAACTTTGATCAATTTTTTTTCAGCACTGGGCAAGCAGTTTAGGGGCTTCTTTTTCTAGCACACTCTTGGGTTTTGTTCAGATATGCTGGCTTCAAGCCCTACAGGGCTTTAAAGGTCTACACCAGAACCTTCAATTGGGCCTGGAAGCAATTGGGAGCCAGTATAGCTGGAATAAGACTGTAGTGATATGATTCCTACGACCAATGCCATTCAGCATTCTGTCTGCAGCATTCTTTACCTACTGTAACTTCCAGACAAGTCTTCAGGGGTAGCCCCATGCAGAGCACATAGCAGTGATCTAATCTAAATGTTACCAGGGTATGTGCCACACAGGCAAGATCTTTCCAGAAATGGGTGAGTTTGATAAAAGCCACCACTGGCTGCTGCTGCCATCCATTCATCCAGCAGGAGGCATAGTCCAGCAGCACCTCCAAGCAACAAACCTCCTTTAGGGGGAGTGCAACCCCATCCAGAACAGGAGATATTTCAGTTCCTGGGGTCAGACCAGTAGCCCTCTGTTTTGTCTGGATTAAGTTATGCTTGTCCCAAACAAAGAACTTTCACTTTATTTTCTGCTGAGTTATGTCTGCCAAAACAAATAACTTTAGGCTCCATTGCAAAAGCATGGGGGGGGGGTCTGGATTTAACGTGAGCCAGGATGATCTTCATCTTGGTCTCTGTGCATCATACCTATGGGTTAGGCGCCTGCACCGACTCCAATCTGGGACACTTCTGTCAAGCTCAGTGAGGGATTTGGAGCCCCACCCCCAAGCATGTGCAGGAACTCCACCACGCATGCTCAGAGGGTGGGACTCCAGTATCCCACCAGTTCTCTTCT